ATTCAATAAGCACTTACTGAATGCCTACTAAGTGTCAGGCATTATTCCACAAACTGGGAAATGGCAGTGGACAGACAGACAGGAGCCTCCACCCTGTGGAGCTGACACTTGACTTGTTGACCTGGCCAGGATCTGAAGCTCGGTGCTGAGGCACTGGTGACAGCAGGCATCGCTGCTCTTCTCTGATGTCAAGGGGAATTCCTTCTAAGTTCCACCATTACATGTGACATCTGCATAGGGCTTTTTTGCAGATACTCTTTATCGAGTTAATAATTCCTAGATAGATTGCTAATAAATTTTATCATAAATAAAATTTGAATTGAATGTCGTCTCTCCTTCCATGAAGATCACATTTGCAGTCTCCTTGGATCTGGTAATGTAAGTTATAGTATAGATTTTCTGATGGTGAACCTCGCAACATGCTCCTGGAATAAACCTGACTTCCATTTGCTCTTCGGTACACTGTTGGATTTGGTTTGGTTATAGATTGTCTGGAATTTTGCATCACTTATTAACAAGTGAGTGTGAATTGGGATCTTCCTTTCTTATATTCTTTTTTAAATTTTTGGTGTCAGTATCATACTAGTCTTACAAAATTAGAATGATCTTTCCTTGTATTTTAGGAAAATCTAACTCATGTACTCGAGAAACTGCACCATGGAGAAAGAAGACTCCCTGGACATTTTGAAGGCTGTTGGATATAAGGTCGACCTGACATTGATACCAGGGGACTAATATGCTATCATGGCTCCTTGTCAGAGCATGGGCAGAGGCCGGGTCACAAATGAATCCCTGGTCCAGGTCCTTCTCTCAGGGGGTCCAATGTGCCCGCAGACAGCTCGTGTTCATCTGCCTGGTACTACTTATTCAGGGACTGATATGCCCAGTAACTGACGGAATCTACTGTACCAGCTCTTTGACATGTGGATTAAGGGCCGTGAGAATAGGAAAGACTGAGTGGAAATCCTCAGCACCGACACCCCCTAGTCAAAACAATAACTCATAGCACTGTGCCCTGTACAGGATGCAGAGATTAGTGCCACCTCAAAGATTTAAAAGATCTAGGGGTGGTGGTCCACATCTCGTCCCAATTTGATTCACTAGTTAGTGTGGCTTGTGCAAGAAAACCGGGTCACGGTGGAACAAATGCCCCAGAACAGACCGGGAACAAGCACCTGCCACTCTGCGAGATTTGGAATCTGCAGTAGACTCACCCTGCCCAGCCTCTGGCAGTCAGCACACAGCTGGCACCGAGAGAGCGCGTTCTTCTCAGCACGCATCCCTGAGGAGGACCAGGCGCAGTTCGCACTCACTGCAGACACTCGTGGTCTTACCCTCTGCCACGCGTGGTCCAGAGGCCCTGCCTGATCCCTAGACCTTCTTCAGAACACCACACTGACACACAATATGGATATTATGTTACTTGGATTGGATGCCCTGATAGGTTGCATACACTCCAGGAAACAGGTAACAGATCTTACAAGGATTCGTGGACTGCCTCATCAGTGAAGTTCTGAGGGGTCCAGTGGTCTGGGCTATCCCAGGACATGAACTCTAAAATAAGACGAGTTAGTTATTGCACCTTGCACTTCCGACTGCTGGTAGGCTTCTTTGGGTTTTGAAGACAGTATATACCACTTGAGAAATACTGCTGACTCGAAAAGCTGCCAGGGTTGGTGTTTCAGAGGAAGAGAGGGCTCTCTGGCAGATCCAGGCTGTGTCATCAGTGGCCCTACCACTTGGCCCACCAGACCCAGCAGGTCCCACGGTGCTGGAGGTATGTGTGCTAGATGAAGACTGTGTGGAGTCCCAGGAAAACCTGCACAGAAAAGTCAGTGCAGACACTCTAGAGCAGGCCGTGTCATCTGCAGAACTCACAATGCACTCATTTCCAGGCTCAGTGCCACTCCTAGCTCCTGGCCTTGTAGCAAATGCATGTGTCACCACGAGACATCAGTGTCTGGGACATCAAGGCCTGTCCTCACAGTGATATGCTGCTCAAACCCACCAACAACCCAGTGAACAAGGGGAGTGGGACATCTCGGACCAAACCCAAGCAGGTCTAGAGGGCACAGCCTGTGACAGGTGGCCCAGCCCCCACGCCACGTGCTCTGCCGCTCCAGCATCTTCCTCAGCTCACCTCCACCATCGCCTCATGGGGGCTTCACTACGACTAGGAGAAAAACCTCAAAACTTACCAGAACTTACAGGTGGGCTGGCTCAACTGATTGGTGTAGCCCTCGTGAGAGCTGCACATGGGAACAGCCTGAGAGACAGTGGGCACCCATAGATGCAGTAGCCTAAAAACCAAGTGCCAACACTTGAGTGTTGTAAGTCGACCAACAGACGTTGGCCAGCCTCTGTCCTCACCAGTCCCAGCATTCATAGAGTACACCCATGACAGAAGTGACCATGGTGGCCAGGATCCTCTCAGCAAAGCTGACCAAGCCATGGCCACTGCTGACTGTCTAGCCCACAAAGAGCAGAGATCAGCCCTAGGCCTCTGTATGGTTCCATGCCTGGAGGCTGTCAACCAGCCACTTAGTGGCACATTGATTACATGGGAACTCCCTCACCTGGAAAGGGCAGTGGTTTGTCTCAGCTGGGATCACCCTATGCCAGGTGTGGGTTTGCCTTTCCAACTGTAGTATCTTGGCCTGCACTACTATGTGAGGGCGAGTATCAGAGCTCTATCCCGGCGGGAGTCCACGTGAAATCAACTCAGAGCAAGCGAAGGAGGTGCACGAGAGGCAGGTGACCACAGAATCCACCGTGCGTCAAATACTGCACGACTCAGAGGCACCGGCCTGAGGACATATTGAAAGAGCACCTCAAAGGCAGGGATAAAACACTGGCTTGGTGATGTCCCTTATGGGGTTGCGTGCTGTGCTTCAAGATGATCCAATGACCAGTAGACGGTACCGGGTGCCCCGTCAGTAAACGCATGGATCCACCTTGCTCCAGAGACCCAGTGTGGACTTTGTGCTCCTCTCCCCCACAGCTTCAGGCTGGGTGAATCCAGAGGTCCTGGCTCAAGGAGGGTGGAGAAAGCTTCCACCAGGGGACACTAAAAGCCATGGTGGTCATCTGGTCACTTGTGGCTCCTCGTGCCAGAAGACCAGCAGGCACTGCAGAGTTTCCATACTAGCCAGGGTACCTGACCCTGACCACTGTGGAGGGCAGGCCTGCCACTGTGCGATGGGACAGGGAAGACTGTCTGGGAACCAGGGGCTCACTGGGGCCCACCTGGAGGCTCCTGTGGCCAGTCCTAACCGTGACTGGACCGTTATAGCAGCCAGGGCCAGACAAGGGAACGGCCAGCGGGGGCTTGGGCCATACACAGTGAGGGCCTAGGTCACCTCCGCAGGCGGCAGCCAGAGCAGCAGGAGGCTGGCCACAGCCTGGGGGCTCTAGAAAGGAGGTGGAGGAGTGAGATGGTGAACATCAGCTCAACCGGACCAACACCACCACGGAAGCTTCTCCCCAGGACCACGGCCGGTACCGTCCTGGGAGATGAGCAGAGTGAGCCCAGCGCGAGGTGTGGGCAGAGCACAGCAAGGGCTGGCAGAAGCCCTGGCCTCCAGCGCGGGCCCGTCACCACAGCACCTGGCACCTTCAGCCCAACTGCTTTGGCCGCCAGAGCCTGCTTGGCCAGCAGGTGGGTGCACTCGGGGAGCTGCAGGTGTCTGAGGATT